GCATCTTCTAAGAGTTACTACATCCATAGCTGTTCCCAAGCTGTTTATGTGGAAATATAGACTGTTAATTCCTAGAGGCTTTTGAGAATTCTTTCTAATAAAATGTTTGATCTCACAGAAAAGAAGGTAAAAACTGGGTGCTCTCCCAGAGTCTGTTTGCCCTGCATGACAGTTCATATCCCTGGTGGCTGTAGACTGCCTTTTCTGGGTGCCTATGTCCCCTGATACCCAGCTGGGTCCAGCCAGTGGGAGACTCTGGTGGGAAAATATGGAATGGGGGGAAGAGAATGGCCAGGATGTGCAGGGAAGGGATGAGGAGGGGTGGGGGCAAAGCAAAGGTAACATCTCTTCTACGTGTTGAGCTCCTCCAGTTAGGCCCACCATGGTTCTGTCTTCCTCTGGAGGCCTTCCCCCATTTGTTCCTGTTGTTGCTAATCTCTGGATTGCCTCACCAACCTCCTATTTGGGTGTCTCAGTTCTTTATTACCTGGGTAACCAACCTGTTCCCTGCATTAAATTCCTCCTGCTAGATATGTTTTAAGTTGTTTCTGTTTGCCTAGTTAGACTCTGACTGGAATACAAGCCATTTTCATTTTATATTTAGTATGGTTATAAAATTGGCCGAGAATGCTGTTGGCATACTGTGTCCAGATTTCAGCAAGACTTTTGACAGATAATCTTACCATGTCCTTGTGAACAAAACAGGGGTAATTTAGATTGGATTATAAAACATTCTTAGATTGCTGAAGTTTATTAATGTTCAGATCAACCTGATGAAAGGGCTCTAAAAGTCTGCCAGAAGGCTCTGTCCTTAGCCATGTTCTAGTCAACTTACCAAAGATTTGGATGAAGACATAAAATGCAACTTAATCAAATGTGTCCATAACAGAGCTGGAAGGTAATGTAATTCAGAGTTGGAAAGGATAAACTTTATAAGGAAAAACGGAAAATCTCACAACTATATACAAGAAATAAATTATAAAAACATAGAATGGAAGAGACCAAGCTTCCCAGCTAATTAGGTGGGTAAAGAAATCCAAGATTGTTATTGACCACAAGCCCAATACAAGCCAGAAGTATGACTTGGTTTTTGTTTTGTTTTGTTTTTAAAGTGGCTGGGGGGAGATCCATCTTTGGGCCCCATTAGAAGATAAGTATGTTCCTATCAGCTGATAAGTATGCAGTTCTACTTCTCATGTAGAGCATTATGGGAAAGCTAGGAACTTACTCTAAGGAAGATATTGCTAAATCCATGTTCCCTGACCATTGTAAAGCTTTATGTGTAAAGTGTTGTGTCTGCACACATTTATTCACTTTTGTATCACAACAACCCAGTGGAGCATGTCCTGTTACCCCGTTTCTCAGCCTTTATTTCCTCATATGGATTCAAGTCAAAGTTACATAGCCCACAGTGCTCTAGCCTTAGGCAAGCACTGTGGTACTTCGTCCTGAACCCAACTTACTTCCCAAAAGCCCAGTTCTTGGTTCAGGACACCATACTGCATTTAGGTAAGAGGGGCCCAACTTTTGAAAGGTTGGAAAGCCTTACATGTTAAGGGAACTGGGACATTATACCAGGAGAAGAGACTTGCATCTGTCTCCTAGGATTTGAGAGTCTGTCATATGAGAGAAAGCAGAATTCTTTATGTGACTTCAGAGAACAACTAGTATGATGGAGTGGTAGTTTTTTCCTCAAATTTTAAATATTTCAGAGAGAACCACCCTCTAATACGGTCAGTGTCTTTGTGCAGAAAGTTGGATAATTAAGTCTCAAGAATATTGTAGTAAAGTGAATTTCTACATGGGGAAGAATGTTAAATTAGATTACCTAATATGACACCCAGCTCTGAGTCTGATTTGTGTTTATTTGGGTTTTTGGTTAGTGAGATTTATGATTTGTAGTTTTTGACTCGGAGTTATTTGTTTTATTTTTATAGTTTCACTTCTAGCAATATAATTGTTTTTCTTATAATTTAGGATTAACATACTCTATTTGTGGGAGAAAAAAACTTTTAAGAGCCCGAAACAAGGAAGTAAAGCATGACTAGTGCCTGGTGTAATTACCTCCACAAGAAATATTATGCTATTTCCTGGAATATGTCCCCAGAGTGAATGTCTGCATTTGTTCCATTTCATTCCTAGCTGTGGAATCCTATCAGGGGTGATGAGGAGAATCATTTTGAAATATATTGAAGCAGAGAATGGAGTTTGCAAAGTATTATTAGGTTTGCTCAGATGAACCTATGCAAATACAAACTGTTGGCATGCCACTATAAAACCCAGTGCCTCTATGGGACATGGCTCCTGCAGGGACTTATTAAAGGTCACCAGAGTGACAGTGGCTGAAAAACCGTAAAATTTACCTTGAGGATGCCTTTCCAGTCTTCTTTCCAGAACTAGTATTGTCTCTGCCCCATGTAAGATAGTTCTTCATGAAGGGCTAGGATAATCGAGAAAGGAAAATAAAAATCATTTCAAAATCAATGAAAAAACAGCACATTGTCCAACGAGAATAAAATATGCAGGGAGAATTAAATGTGTCAGTGTGTCAGAATTAAAATAACATTTTTGCTTTGAACTTACTTCTGGTAAGTTTTCGCTAAAGGGGAGTTCTCAGTCTTCGTAACTACTTGCTAAGGTCTAAAAGTTAACTTACGTGATTTCCCAAAAAAGATAGTTCCATTGTGAATCCATACTATTTCAGATCTTCCCTGTAAAAAAATCTGAAGATTGTCATGTTCATTTTTTTTTAACGTGCGTGATCTGCCTCCTCTCACCCTTCTGCAATTTCTTCTCAGGCTTATCAATTATAATTCTCACAGAAAGATTTGAGATGCGTTGAAAATACTAAGGGGAAAAATGAAGTAAAAGAGGATCTCCTGTTTAACTGAATGGCTTATCTATTTAAAAAATGAGTTTTAGGGGCGCCTCGGTGACTCTGTCAGTTTGGCGTCTGACTCTTTTGGCTCAGATCTGATCCCAGGGTTGTGGGGTCAAGCCTCATGTCAAGCTCCACACTGAGCATGGAGCCTGCTTAAGATTCTCAGTCCCTCTGTCTCTCCCTCTCTCTCCCCCTCTCTCTTTGCCCCTTTCCCCTGCTCGCACTCTCTCTCTCTCTCTCAAATTTAATTTAAAACAATTTTTTAAATGAGTTTTATATACATTAACATTTCTGACAATTTTCCATTTGACACAATGGTAAAATTTTTTTAAAGAATCAGTTTCCTAACTCTTATGCTTGATTTGGGGGCTCAGCAAAACCCAGTACTCTTTTTCCTCTAAGCTGCTAATACAAAATTGGTAAAATGAATAATGGAGAAGAACTCCTGTTCTGCCCTTGGCCTAATCAGCATCGTCAGCCTCATGATGAATCCTCAGAGGCAGAGAGGGGAACTTATTGATCTTTGTATTCTTTTGTTTTTTGGTTACATAAATCAAGGCATTTATTATAGGCCGGCAGTGTCTCACATGGTGGAGCTTCCGCTGCTGGTCTTTCATCTCCTTCAGGCATCTGGAGGTAGACCTTCCTGTGGTGGCAGAAGGGGTGCTGTAGGTCCAGGCACATCAACTGCCGTTTTCATGCCTGAACCACAGTGCCAGATCTCCACAGCTCCTCTTTTCATCTTGATTTTGCCACAGAAGGAGCAAGTGTACTCAGCATGCTGGCTAATTTCAATGTTCTTTAGCATTTTCCTGAGAGAAGCAACAATAACAGGTCCCATATTGACCAATCATTCCAGCCTTCTTGATGCATTTAACCATGTCCTCCCAAACTAAGTCTGAGCCCAGAGAATGGTCTTTGTATCTTTAGGGTCCTCCCATGGGGCCTGGCGCTTGGGAGCATTTCAGGGAATGTTTATGAATGAAAGTCCATGTATTGAAAATGAATTTTACAAAAGCTGCAATTTCCCCTTTCAGAAAATAGCTTTAGATTGAATTTTCGAGGTACCTGGGAACTGGAGAGGAAGATGGCAAGTGTTTCCTATAAGGTCCTATGTGTGAAATTTGGGGAGTTTTAAAACATAACCGGATTGCTGCCAGATGTGTTTTAGTATTCAGAATTTTTCAGATTTTAGAAAAATGATATAGTATATGCATCTTATGCTATGCAGTTAATTCCCACAGGGCATAATGCAAATGCATGAAGATGCTGATAGCGAAAGCATATGAATAGTCACGTTAAATGTGAATTAAGATGTTAAGTAATTTCACATTAGTTCTGGTCAGAATTTTTAGGCGTGTAAGTTCAGATTAGATCAAGTCTGCTATCAAATGAGTTTAAAACAAAAAACACCATCACTTAGTTTTCACCACTTTTATGATCTTCAGGTTATCTGTCAGCATCTGAGGCCTGTAACGTTTTTGTTTTTGTTTTTGTTTTCATTAACCAGAATCCTCTGTAGTTATTTAATGAATCATCTTCTCATTTCTAACTTCAACTGGGTAGGTACAAAATGTTGCTCTTTTTCTTGTTTCCCCAAGAAAAAAGAAAAGGTAAACATCTAAACATTTTGGGGATTATTTAGTCAGTATTGGCATCAGTATATCATCTCACTTAAACCTCACAGAATCCTCTGAGACAATCATTCTTGCCATCCTTTTTATTTTACAAAGACAGCTGAGGAGTGAACAGTGAAATGTCTCATTTTAGGCCACAGAGTTAGCAAGTAGCAAAACTAAGACTCAAGCTCAGGTCTTTCAACTCTAGAACCCATCTTCTTTCTACCAAATCATGTTTTCATAGAAAAAGCTTCGGATGAAGCTGGAAAATGAGAATTTGAGTACATGCTTATCTAAAATGTAATGAATATATCATAATGCCTACAGCCTTTTTAAAATTTGAGTTATTGAAATTAGTTTGGCAGAAGTGGGCTGATTATTGTAAAGTTTGCTTTGATTACTTTAAAGAGGGATAGACTTTTAAAGTTTAAGCTAATTTCAAGTGTATTTCAAAAAAAATATTATTTTGTCATTCTCCCATTTTTGTTTGAACCGTTTAGATGTGTCTGGCATCAGAGGGGGTTAAAATGGAGGAATCAAAGCTAATGAAGGCAAAAGAATCAGATGGTGGAAGAATTAAAGAATTGGAGAAGGGAAAGGAACAAAGAGAAATAAAAATGGAGAAAACAGATGAAGCCAGGTCACAGAAGGAAGCAGAATTTGAAAAATCAGCTAAGGAAAATGTAAGAGATTCTAAGGAACTAAGAAATTTTGAGGAGCTACGAATGGATGATACAATGGATATAAAAGTGGAAGATCCCAAAGAAATTAAAAAGGAAGAACTAGAAGAAGATCAAAAATGTAGTCACTTCCCTGATTTTTCTTATTCTGCCAGTAGCAAGATAATAATAAGCGATGTTCCCAGTAGAAAGGATCATATGTGCCATCCTCATGGAATTATGATCATTGAGGATCCCACAGCATTAAACAAACCAGAGAAACTAAAAAAGAAAAAGAAGAAAAGCAAAATGGATCGACATGGAAATGATAAATCCACACCCAAGAAGACTTGCAAAAAGAGGCAGTCTTCAGAGTCTGACATTGAGAGTGTTATATACACCATTGAAGCCGTTGCAAAGGGAGACTGGGGCATCGAGAAACTTGGAGAAACCCCTCGCAAGAAGGTCCGCACATCTTCAAGTGGCAAGGGAAGCATTTTGGATGCCAAGCCACCAAAGAAAAAAGTGAAATCAAGAGAGAAGAAAATGTCAAAGGAGAAATCCTCAGACACCACCAAAGAGTCAAGACCTCCAGATTTCATTAATATTTCTGCCAGCAAGAACATTTCTGGTGAGGTGCCAGAGGGTATAAAAGCAGAACCATTGACCCCCACGGAGGATGCATTACCACCGAGCCTATCTGGACAGGCCAAGCCTGAGGAAAGTGACTGTCACAGAAAAATAGAGACTTGTGGCTCCCGGAAATCTGAGAGGTCTTGCAAAGGTGCTCTTTATAAAACCCTGGTGTCTGAAGGCATGCTCACCTCTCTGCGAGCTAATGTTGACAGAGGTAAGTAACTCCCACAAAAGTGAAAAGAATATGGAAACGTAGCGAATGCCTCCTTTAGACTCATTGAGAAGAGCCACCATAAAGAACAATGTGGCATCAGAACAATATATTTGTACAGTTCTTTATGGTTTATAGACACATGTGTCATTTTACTTACATGTTTTCTAGCACCATAGAGCAGATCTTATATTCATTTTGTAGGTAGTTCTCAGGATATGTGTTCAAATAATTCAAACTTTTTTTTTTTAACCTGGTATGGGCTGGCTTCTTGTTTTGAAAGATAAGCACTACATGTTTAAAGTTCTTATGGCTTTTAAAACTGAAGGAAAGAATTTCCTGAATCAAGCAAATCTGTTGGGCAGAATGTTGATCTGTAGGCTCCAAAAGCAAATAATCTGTCTAGCCCTCTCCGTAGGTATTCAAAACTATAGTTGAAGGGAAGGCCTCTTTAAAACATAAAACCAGTTAATGTGTATACATTTATTTCACAGAGTGTTTTATATAAATTCATCTGTTTTAAAACACAGCATCTGGCTAGGGGACTACCTCTTGCAAAGCTAAATTCCAATTTAGAGATCTCTGAGAAAATGGGTCTAACAAGCCCTGAATGCAGATCCTTGGGAGTACAGGGATATCATTCCAGTAAATCTGAGGGAAATTCACATTAATAGTGCCCACCAGCAAAGGCTTCTACACCTTAGTCTGATTCTCTAATGGGAAAGGTGATAGTAGTTAGTCTGTCTCTTGAGTCACACAGTATGCACAGTACCTGTTGAGTTGTGATAGGAAGACTTATCCCATAGCTGTATACTTTTTTTTGCATGCTGTATTATTAAGGGTGGTCCATCACGAATCGCTTAGAGGACACCAAAACTGAAATAGTTACAAATAGCATCATGCAGACGATACCTAAGGGGTCAACAATTCACTTGTGAAGCAACCTCATCCCAATATACCAAGCACATTCTGTCTCTCAAATTCCCTTAGGGAAACGAAGCTCAGGAAAAGGAAACTCCTCTGACCATGAAGGGTGTTGGAATGAAGAAAGCTGGACGTTTAATCAGAGTGGGACCAGTGGGAGCAAGAAGTTCAAGAAGACCAAGCCAAAGGAAGATTCTCTCCTTGGGTAAGTGTCTGTGAGCACAGTCAGCACACTGCATAGACACCAAGTGTGATAGGTTTTCCAAGGTAAACCTAATTCACTAACTGCTTCTTCTGGAGTATTCATTCATTCTGCACTTATTACAGTCTTAGCAAGCGAGAGCACAGAATCTCCGCATACCACAGGGTTCCTGCTGTTAACGCGGTTGTGTGAGTGACCGTGCCATCTGCATTTCAGGTATAGTACATAGTATGTAGATTTGAGATGTAGGCTTCAGTTTGAATTGAGGCCCACCATGTATTAGTGCTGTGACATCGTAAATCCTTTAATATTGCCAGGACGCATTTTTCCATCTAAGGTTTACAATGGATATTATGTAAGCATGTTTAAGCGTAAACATGTTTATGTAAGCATTTTGCCATTTTGCTTGCCATATATACTTTATTTAATATTTCTAAAGGTTATGCACATGTATTTATAAAATAATAATGACAGCTCAAAAGGGTAAGGTAAATAAAATTATCCTTCGACCTCTATCTAACCATTTGTGTTGAAACCATGTTCTGTTGCTCTAAGATAAAAATGTTAGATTGACTCTGCTGCAGAGAATACTCAGTTATTAATTATGTGTTGAAATGCAATATCAAGCAATAGCATGTACATCGAGATAAAATCATTAAGAATTACTTCATTTTTAGTGTTATTCCAAAGACTCTTAATACCAATCTTAATATACAGGAAAGTATCTGCATATTCAGTTAAACTGTTAAAAATCCTTTGAGATTTCTTACTAGCCCAATTTGAAAAGAATATATTGAATGGAAATAAGTACATTTTTACATTTTCCATATTTTTTCATAAGTGTGTTTAAAGGTATGCAGATTTCATGGATCGGAAGTATTTGGTTTATTCATAAGTATTTGCATTTCTGTTAGTGGAACAATATGTTTTTTCCTTAGAAGTTACAATGCTTTAAAATCTGGTAATTTTAAGGCTCCAGGTCATCAGAAATGGGAGATTGGAAATTATTTCTCTTGTTAAATTCCTCAAGATGATTTACTCAGATGATTTTTTTTTTAATTTTATGTATTTCTTTTCTAATACTTTATAAGTCCAAAGTAGTTCAAATTAGTTTTGCTTACAAACTCAACTTATAAATAATAACATAAAAATTCTCATATTCATCATTGTCAAATGATATTTTCAAATGCAGAATTTCCTTAAAAAGTGACCACTGAGTGTCAGGACCAATGCTCTGTATCTTCTAGAACTACTAGTGCCCTGTGGGTCTGCTCACTGAGAGAGGAGCAGGTCTCGCGCAGACAGTATGGGATCCTGGGGAAATAAAGCAGAAATTAAGACTCTCAGCAGAGAGGTCTCTGATGCTTCCATTAGAAACTGCTGAGAGCCGTGAGAGAGGTGTTTTTACCAATCTTCTTTAGGAACAAGAGAAGTGAAACAATATTTTGAAAGTCTATCTCTGAAAAGAGATTGGTGTATGGGTTGTTTTTGTTTTAATAATTTCTAAGGAAGGCACATGTATGTAACTGGGAGTGTGGTTTTCCTATAGGCTTAAATCTCTGGTCTTGAACCTCTGGTCTTTCCTGTCCCCCACCGACCCCCCCATTCCCATCCCCGCCGACATACATAGGCCTTTCAGAATTAGACTATCTGGGTCTGATGAGCAGTATGAGATGCCAGTTCCTATCAGTCTTCTCTGAGATTTCTAAATAGGCATTTTAACCCCTTTTATCACAGAAAATATGCTATTTGTTGCCAAGAAAAATTCACTTCGTATTGGCAGTTCTAATCTTACAGATCTCCCCCACAAAAAAAAACATGGATGATTATTATAGTTGAAAAAAGACAAGGAAAAAAAAGTCCCAAGGGACCTTACGAGTTATAAGTCGCATTTTCATGATTTTCTTTTGATTTTTTTCAGATTATCTGAAAAAGTTATATTATAGGTAGCTTTCTGATAGTATCTGATTACTATCTGATTTTTCCATTAGTTACAAATGTTTTTTAACTGGATAGAAAAGGTGATTTTATTAATGAAGTAGTATCACCCCCACCACCCTCCCTGCTTTTTACTTTTTTAATATTTATTTATTTTTGATAGAGAGAAGGTGAAGAGGGGCAGAGAGAGGGAAACAGGATCTAAAGCAGGCTCTGTACTGTCAGCACGGAGACTGACACGGAGCTCAAACCCATGAACTGCAAGATCACAACCTGAGCCGAAATCGGCGCTTAGCTGCCTGAGCCACCCAGGCGCCCACCTTCCCTGCTTTGATAGAACTAATTAATGGCCTTTTTCCATTGACCATTCTTTGGTTATCAGACTGTCTTGTCTCTGTTCCCCAACTTGTGTATATTCCTCCAAACAGAATAGTTTTAGGTGGACGCACCTCAAGTACATCCTATAGGTAGCAGCCTAACACATTAGCTGTTAGCTTCTTGTGAGTTGACTCAAAGCTGCCCTCTCCCCAGAAGGCTTTCCATTCTCCATCCGGCACGCGCCACCATTCTGCTGCAGCTTCTCCCATCTGTTTGGGTTTCATCTTAGTTAATAAGTCTCAGTAAGTGGAAGTCAGAAGCCAGCCAGTGATCCAGCAGGCATGCTGCCATTGCTGTGTGGGGGCCTTCGAGACCATCAGAAGCAGCCCAAGGATTTCCCAACTTTGCTGGTGCCGTTTCTGCAGTCGTTCCTGGTTTGCGTGAAAGTGGTGCTGCCTGTCTGCCAGTGTGCTCATTGAAAACTGGCTTTCCTTGTCGTTGAGTGGTTTCACGCCATCCTGGTCAACTCTCCAGAATTTGTTTTTATGATCCTCAGAATTTTTGTGTTTTCTTTGTGTGTAGAGATGTTTTAAGCAAGTACTAGTCAGTAAATATGTTTTTAAAAAATAAATCTTTTTTTTTTTT